GGGAGGGAACGGGAGGAGGAGAGGGGTTGGAGAGGAGGAGGGCGCGCGCGTGGTGGCCTGCCTGCCTGCCTGCTCTGGGGGTGGGGGCGGCCGGGCCGATCCCCTTTTCTACTTCCGGGGCGGGCGGCTCCCCGCTCTCCCTCTGGTTTGTTGCGTTCCGGTGGGGGTTTTCCTTTCTCTTGGGTGCGCGCTGCGCGGGCGGGCGGGGGGTCTCTTTTTCCGGGGAATATTTTCTTCCCGGGCTTTCTCTTCCCGTGCGCTGCTGTGACCGCAGCGGCCGTGCGAATTTCGCGCCGGTTGGACTCTCTCTTGGGGGGGAGGCGCGCGCGTGCGACCGTGTCCGTGCGGCCGTGGGTTGGATGGATGCCTCGTCGGTTTGGGGAAGGAATTTATCGGCTCCTTTACTGCGGCCGATCTGGATCCTTCAAATTGATCGATTTCCTTCTTGAATTGGATTTGTTTAGGTCGTACTCTTGCATGACGGAGCAGTAGCAGTATCACTAGGAGTACAAGGTAATCCAGAGGGTGCGAAACGGAACGGGAATGGTCACGCTTTGGAAAACTTATTATCTTAGACAAATTTTTGGTCGTGCCCAAAAGTGTGTGTGACTCGGTAGTTTTTTTTTCCTTTTCTGAACAATTACGGGAAGGACGAGAATCACATGACTCAAAAGGAGTTTCATGCACAAAGTTTTTTTTTTAGGGACAGACAAATTTTGTTACGTGGGCATATTTTTTCCTCTATTACTAGTTTTCCACACACGAATTTGGAAGAGGGTGTACTTGTTTCACCATACCCATGTTTTCTTCGTGCTCGATTTTGCTAACATTTATCCATCGGTTTTTCTTTCGGAGATTCGTGAAATGTTTAACTTATATCGTCCGATCAAGGAATAGAGTAACAAGCAATGGTAGGTTGGTATGAGCATTACAATGATAGATGTAAGGTGAAAGCAACGCTATTAAGATTATAATTTCTAATAAAAAACAATTCCACTAGCAAATACCCTGTCATGGGGCGTGGCCGCGTGGTAAGGCATCGGGTTCTGGTCCCGTTACTCGGAGGTTTGAATCGGTACGACTGAAATGTTAATCTGACCAATACAGGTCGGGTGGATAGGGTGTTTTAGCCGTTGGGTCATGAACATGGCATGTAATAATTACTAACTAATGCAATTGCTATTGCGCAATAATATCGATAATTGTTCAGCATGTGTTCTCCCACGTGCAACTACTATACCGAGATATTTGGTTTTGGTAGGATGCCCCTGTGCAACCGAGTGGCGGGAGTATCTAGAACTATATTAACTAATCGCTACAAACGCTTATCGGTTGATGAGCAAGCAATACCATCGAAAAAATAAATGTTAAAAAGCCTAAAATAAATCTAAAATTTGCAACCACCTGTATCAAAAAAAAAGCCTAGGCTTGAACCCTGGTGTGGAAGTTATACCACAAGAAATCTAGCCATCTAGCTATGCTCGATTCACAAACCATAGTGTGTTAAACTACAATAAATAAAAGCTTGACAATGGAATACGATTGAAGACTTTTCGGTTGCCATCGACAAGGTCAGGCCGGCTCCGATATGGGAGCGACGACGGTGACGTGTCGGTGGCTCGTTCTGGCGGTGACAACGGTCGTTTAGTGTCCATGGACCTACATGGAATTTTTATTATGGTTGGGGTGTTTTGTACTTCAAGTGAATCTTCATAATAAATTTGATCATTTTTGCAAAAAAAAAAATACAACTGAAGACCAATTAAACATACAAACCGTAAATGTCAATGAGAGTAGCAAGTGGTTCTAGTTAAGATCACCTCCAAACAAGTGGGCGGTTTGGGATCAACCACGATCTTGAAAGTAAAAGGTACAAACCAAAGAAAATAAGGTCAGGATTTGTTCATACCAATCATTGCGAAAGTCAAAGTTGAAACTTCTGTGCAGTGATTGCTCTATTGAGAGCATCATGGACGGACACATGGCTTGGAGATTTTGTGTAGTGGTTCTCCGGTGCTTGTCGCCGGTCCGAGCTGATCTTCGTGGACGCGATGCAGGCAGCTGCCGGTGAATCCATGACGACGGCCTTCTCGTGTCTGACTGTGTGCGGCTACCCATTTGCCGTCTCCTCTTAGGCACTCATGGATGGGTGGTGCATTGACAAGAAAAGTTTGATCGAAGTTGTTGCTCTTCGATTGTCCAACATTGGTCGAGATGCGGCTTGTAGATCTGTTTAGGGTTGGCTTCTTTATGTTGTGTTTGTAGTAGTTGTGGTGGCTAATCGTTTGATTAGCTCGGGCGTGGAGTTTCAACTACCAACAAGTTATAATACTTGTCTTCTGTCTTTAATAAAAACATGGTACACCTGAGCGTACTATTAAAAAAATTAAAACTTGTGAGAAACAAATAGTGTAGTACCCGTACCGTGCATTTTCTTAGAAAAAATGCATAGTTCAAGCAAAACCTTTGGGTCTTTTGAACCGCAGTGAAACTTTCCCTTGGTTCACCGCGTGTCTTCTCCACGGGCAAGTGCCAACCGCCAAGTCTCTTTTGTGCAAACAAACATGGAGTGCTCTTCTTTCTGGTCACCCCTCACCGTCCTCGATCGTCACGCCCTACCCACTGACACGTGGGACCCGCGGCTGATGTAAGTGCGGCCAGCTTATCGCGTGTACGTAAGCGTATAGGGCCAGCCAGCCATGGATTACGTAGCAGCGGCGAGGAAGGACGGGAGAGACCCCGCTAGAGCCAAGGCATTTGATGCACGGATGGATGGATGGATGGATGGATAGAGCCGTCGCAGACGGACGGATGGGCGCTGTCTGTTGGCCGCCACGGCGGGCCTACACGTGTAGCACGTGGCCCGCACACGTGGTGCTCTGCGTGACGGAGCGACGCCGCCGGATCGCGCCCGATCGGGCGTGCGCGTCCCGGAACCGCACGGGGATAAGCGTGACCGCGTGCGTGGTGGACCGGTTCCACGGAGCCCCTTCCTACCGCCCCGGCGCTATCGCTTTGGATTCGCTGGTTGGACTTGGATGGCTGAGCTTCTGATTCGGCCGAACCCGCAACTGGATCGAGATAGAGTCGTTGAGCCCATAAAAAAGGACAGATTTTTTTTTCTCCATCGCGCAATGGAAAATGCCGCTTGAGTTTAATAACGATTTTATTTCAGGTAGTACTACACGAGACGTACTGCCAAAAAAAAGTGTTTTCTTGCAGGGAGATAAGGTGTGCGCATTAATTAACGCATTTCTTGATTAGTTGCGCGACCGTGACGTGATGTGATCGGTTGGGCAATAGTAGAGCGGGGGATTTGGGTTTTCCCGTTTGGTGGCTCCGGTTTGTTTCCCAAGGGAAAAAAGGCCAGTACCTGCCGCGGCGCAGCAATCAACCCGGCCATGAATGCGACGTCTTCTTTCCCGTTGCTTTGCCTGGTTTTCCACGGTCCATGCTCGGCAGCGGCAGCCCTGGGCCTCTCGTTCTCCTCCTCCTCTACGTGGCGTCAGGGGAGGCGCCCACACCGTGACACCGGCAGCGTTTCAACACGCCTCCGCTCGCGGGGGCTCCTTCGCGGCGAAGCACGGGTCGCCGTCGGTCGGGCAAACGACCCGATCTGCCTTGCCTGCGCAGGGTCAGAGTGGATGGATTCCTTTTTCACTACTTGTAGCGGCTAGTTTCTTCTGTCAGCGCTTGCGTGCGCGTCGCGGGGAGCGGCACGTTGCGCGTGTCGCGGCTTGGCGGGCACGAAAGCTTCCGTCCGGTCCTCGTCCACCGGGAAAAGTGGGGCGCGGCCGTGACCGCAGCAGCACTGCCAGAGCACGCGCTCGCGTCGACGTGCCGTGCCTGGTAGCGAGCGGATGAGGGAGGGGCGCGCGGGCGGCGAAAAGGCCACTCGTTTTGTCGCGCCATTTTCATTTTCTTTTCTGCCCGCTGAAGGAAAGCAAAAGCGGGGATTGTCTTTCGATCTGGTACTGAGTGCGTGCGTGATGTTTGGTTGACTCACTCGTGTGGCTTGCTTCGTACCCGAGTCGGTCTCTTCCTTCTTTTCGATGTTTCCGATGTATAGTCGGCTGGCGGTGCGCCGAGCAGTCTGACGGCCCCGATGTTTCTGACGTTTCTTCTTTCCTCGTGGACGCTAGTCAGGAACCACGCGCGGGGTAAAGGGGTAGCTCACGAGTAGATGGCCCTCTGGGTCGGGGTGCGACGTCTGGGGGAGTGGCGCGAGGATGAACAGGGAGGTTGGGCTCGGGCGCACTGGGGTCGCGCTCTGGGGCACGCCGCACTCGT